ATCAATATTCGGCTCAAACTGGACTCGAATCCAAGCGCTGACACAGCGATCGTTTCCGATCTGTGTCCAGTGTTGGCCTTATAGTGACGCAAAAATGTGAGCACTACGGCTTTGTACTCTAGGCAGTGTTGACCAGGGGTAGCTCAGGATCTAGACTACCACTCCCCTCCGACACCTTGAGCCTGCCGCGCTGCATCTTTCCTCATGGGCTTCACAATTGCCATCAGAACCATCGCCACTAACAAGAGTCCTTTGAAGTTCGCCCAGGCTCCCAGCTACCGGCGGCGCACGAGCAGATAATTTGAATGTTAAGATGTAAACTCACGTAGGGCTCTTGATTTCCAATACACGCCAATTGCTTCCTTCTACACTCTCAGAAAAAAAGGGTGTATGTGGGTGTATCGCGCACCCTTACACCCCCCTTCGACTGGAGACACCCGGCGAGCGTAATCGCACTCCCATCATGCGAATCCTCCTCTCCCAAAGGAAACGGCGGGCGAGGCGAGGGTGTTGCCAGGTGCACCATTACACCCCCCCCCCTTTCCTTTTTCAAAAAGGGGAGAGGGAGTGCTATCAGGAGAGCGCAAGAAAACAAACAAAATGCGCGCGGTAATAGAGTAGAGCGCGCGTCCTGACTAGCAGTCACTGGTTACACGTCATCCGACTGACAACCTATCGCGATAGCGATCGCGTTTCGCGCGTTATCTGGCCTTCGTGTTGCTAGGAGACTTGACCTCCTCACCTCCTGCATTCCATCTCGGCGTGCTTCGGCTGGTGGGGGACATCGCCTTTGTTCATTCGCGCTATTTTGAATTGCGTGTTTTTTTAGAAGGTGGTTGGACAAAGCGGATCGTGTTCACGAAGCGATGCTTGGCACGTAGCTGCAGTCACAAACCAAGATGTGCCCGCCCGAAAAAAGTAAGTCTGCCGTTTACATGCACTCGTTGGATGCTGCGTTTTGCGAGGCATGGGGCCTGCTAGCTGGGGACGTGCTTTCCTTTTTCTCCTGTTTATGTCAGAGTTTCCTCGCTTTTGTATTTGTGGCATGTGTGCGTGGTGGCGGTGCCCGGTTCTCTGAGTGCACAAACGAGCACGACATCGCAGCTTCGAGACATTATTCTTGCGTGAATAGCTGGCATCATTCAGAGCAACGGGTCTCTATCGTTTCGCCAAAAAACACGTTTTGTGGACAGATGTTTCATGGACTCTCGTACGTCGACACTACCGTTCCATCGACAGTCGTTACGCGGATTTAGCGTTGAAGGGACATTTCGTCGCGGGTGTATCCTACACGTACTATCCGCTTCGTGGCAACAGTGTGAGGCGGCTCCTTACAGAAAAAAAGGTAGTTTGTGCTGTCGATGAAGCATTGTGGCGATGAATCATCACGTATCTATAAAACGATCTGTCGGTGAAACGTAGTTCGATTGCAGAGCAACATGCTTGCGCTTGTTACCGGCTTCGCTCGCACGTATGGTTATTAGGGCTGGGCATTTGATCGATTAACCTACCGATTAATCGATTAATGCTTTAATCGCAATTAATTTTTTTCACCGGTTAATCGGTAATATTTTAACGAGTCAAAATAAAGTAAAAAGTAAACGCTTTCACCACGCAGACGTGGACGAGAACACCTCTATGAAGGGGCAACTTAAGGTCAGATTTTAGCCTAAAGTAAACTGTAGGGGGAAGATTTGTAACTCCTGACAAGGTGCAGAAGGTTACACGTCTCCCGGCCGCTTCAATAGCGTTTGAGTGTCCGTTTAGCGCAGCAGAGAGGGACTATAGTGTGAACAATCAAAGGGGGTCGCTCTTGCCGGATAATATCAACGAACCTTTCACCTCATGCAGCTGAAGTAATAATGTGTGAGTGCCTCCGAGCTGTTCTTAACTACACATCAAGGTTGATTCGTAATAAAACTTGTGTATTAGGCCCTTCACCTTATGTTCAGCAAAGGTAAAAACATAAAACACATATTAATTTTTGATTTTTTAAAAAAATATTATGCATGGAAATAAACGAGACCAATTAATCGATTAAAGGGTGGCGATTAATCGGGTTAAAGCTTTTAATCGACGCCCAGCCCTACATTTGGTTATGCAATGCGATTTTCAGTGGGGATGATGGAACTAAGGTGGCGCTTCGGGACAAGGCACTTAAGAGTTCTTTTATAGGTTCCCTACGGAGTCAGAGTAGCGCGTTCATCTTCGTCGCGCCGTCTTTTCTGCACGGCATGTTGATCCAGCTCCTCACGCGCGACTTTTGGACCTCTTGGCGAATATGTGCTGCCACCTCGACACGATGCTAAGTGTCGAGAAGACAACGCGCGCGCAAGGCCTCTCCCAAACGTTCCACACCCAAAACGTCAGCTACATCCTGTTCAACCATTGAGGCGCTGTGACCTAGATACTGCTCCCCCAAACTCGCCTTTGTCCCCATCGTCCTTAATCTTCCGCCCCCGAGGTCGACACAACGAAACCATATTCCCTCCCTGCTCGGCCAGAAGGAAGAGAGAGAGGGTACTGGATCCATTGACTCTCGAACCGACGAGGCGCGCGGCGCGCTCAAAGGCAGGGGTGCGTACGGCGGGGCGCGTGCAACGTTACTTTCTTGCACGGTCCGTGGTCGGATCTCGGCAAATAGCGGCGCGGCGGCACGTAGAAAATAGACGCGCAACTCTGGCTCCCGTAGGGAGCCTATACAGGAACTGGTACTCTAGTGCAGCATTGAGATTATAGGCTCCAGCCAGAGTTGCGCGTCTGGTTTCCCCGTGCCGCCGCGCCGCTATTTGCCGATATCCGATCACGTGAGGAGCAGACTCCAAATGCTGTGCAAGAAAGCCACCGGTACGGCGGCTTCGCCGACGGTGCAAGCGCCTCGGTGTGCATACCCCCGCTTTTGCCTTCTCCTATCCTGTTTTCCAAGAAATGAGGAGGTAGAGCGCGGCGGCCGCTATTCCCCGAATTCAGTCACGTGAGGAGCAGACTTGAAGTGCAGGAAAGCCGGAGCTACTGAGATGAACGCGCAACTCCTGACTCCCGTAGGCTGCCTCTGCAGGAACTCTAGGGCAGCATAGAGTTCCTGCGTAGGCCCCCTACGGTAGCCAGAGCAGGGTTGCCAGGTATTTGCAGATTAACCCGTCAAAATTTCCTGATATTGTGCCCAAGAATTGCCAAATGTCGGGCTATAGCAATAGCCCAACACATAAAATTTCATACAAGGTATTTACATCTCTTTGGAACACGGGTAACATGAAACATGACATAAGACAATTATTTACAGAAGAAGGCAATAAGAGGATAAAGCGTCCCCATGTATATTTTAGTGCAGCGAAAGAAGGGGATTCTCAAACATCTGTTAAGCTGCCCCCACTCCTCTTCCTTTCTCCTTCTGGAAACACGTGCCTCCACCCCTCCCTGCGGTATTAAATCGTGCCAAAAAACTTCAGAAAAAAGATATTGCACTTCCGCAACCAACACCAATGAGGGTCCACATATAACATATTGTATTTTCACGCTTGTGATTTGAATATTTTCCTTTCCTAACCTCTTGAGTTAATTGTTTTTCTCTACCCGGCGCAGAAATATCATGTTTAAGGCTTTGAAAATTGTTGAATATCGGGTATGAAATAGCTTAATAGCCAACCACCAGATTTTCCCGCCTATTACAAAACTGAGTAGCCCAATTGGGCTGTTTGTAGCCCAACCTGCCAAACCTGAGCCAGAGCTGCGCGTTCACCCCGGAGCACTGGCTTTCCTGTAAGGGACGAAATTCTGCTCCTCATCTCACTGGATTGGGCGAATAGCAACGTGCTCCTTCTCCTTTCCTGGAAAACAGGAAAGGAGGAGGAGACAAAAGCAGGGGAACGTACGCTGAGGAGATTGCAACGTCGGCGAAACGGCCGTATCGGCTGCTTTCCTGCACAGTATTTGGATTTTGCTCCTCACATGATCGGATCTAGGTGAATAGCGGCGTGTCAGCGTGTGGATAACAGACGCGCAACTCTGACTCCCGTAGAGAGCCTATGCAGGAACTCTAGGCCAGCATTCACCAGCTTCGGTGTGTGTGGTGCTCAGTTTGGCGTTACTTTGAGAGCTCTATTCGGAAACATATGCAGTGGCTGTACTCGCGGATGCTAACTTTTGCGAAGCTCGAGTTTGGCTAACTTTGAATTGTCATGTTGGTACCCTACTTGTCAGTCCCTTTATTGGGCAAAATTTGTAAAATTAGACTACACGTTTTATTGCATTTTTCATTTGTGAAGCATACACTTTGTCACACTACAGCAACAATTAGGTGTCGAAGTGTTGATGGTTCAAGAACGCGAGTGTCTCCTTGTGCTTGTAGTATGCAAGTCATCTCACGCACCTGTGAAGTGTGAGATAACATAAGATGCTTGGTTAGATCGCGTGTACTAATGACTCGAATCTCTAACGCACAGGAGTGAAGCTCTGCTGCTAGCACAGATGTCGCCATAGTCCCGAGGCACCGTCAGGCAAGGTAAGCAATCAACTAGCCTGCTGATTTTTGTTTTCTTGTCAGATTGTCAAGCATATAATGTGAAATTAGGCTAAGTGCTTGCTTAGATCACGTGTACTAATGACTTTCATCTCTACTGCACAGGCGAGAGGCTCTCCTTGTAGCACAGTCGCTACCATAGTCCCGATGCCCTTTCTAGGTAGGTAAGCAACCTATTATCCTGCACTGTTTTTTTTTTTAGTTTGTAATGCATGTATTTTGAAATTGGGCTTGGTGCCTAGCTAGGTCACGTTTACTAATGACTATTTGCACCTAGCAGTGATGCCATCATTGTCCCGAGGCACGTTCTGGCAAGGTAAGCAATTCACTACCCTGCGGACCCTACTTTCTTTTTTTCTCTTCTTTACTGGTCAGGCTGCTAAGTAAAATTGTGTGACTAGGCTAGGTGCTTGTCTAGATCACATATGCTAATGAGTAATGTAATGCACAGGCGAGAGGCTTTGCTTGTAGCACAGACGCTATAGTCCCGAGGCTCTGTCTGGCAAGGTAAGCAATCAACTATGCTGCAGACTGTTTTTCTTTTTCTCAGGTTGTTAGCGTATCTTGTGAAACTAGGCTTGGTGCTTGGATAGATCATGTTTGCTAATGCCTATTCTCTGATGCACAGACCAGAAGCTCTGCACCTAGCAGATGCCGCCATAGTCCCGAGGCACCGTCTGGCAAGGTGAGCAATTGACTATCCGGTGGACCCTGTTTTCTTTTTTTCTTTACTTGTCAGACTGCTAGGCTTATATTGTGTGATTAGGCTTGGTACTTTGTTAGATTACATGTACTGATGACTCAAATCTCTGATGCACAGGCTGCCCTCAACGCAAAACAGGTTTAATTTTGGCAAACGCCTTTCGTCAAGCGTGGTACGCAGTCTTTACCATTTTGTAACTATTTGATTCAATGGGGGCAACATGTTTTCTTTAGCGACATTAATGATAAATAAAGAGTTTGAAGTAAGAAGGACAGCATATAAAATGGCACAAAAGGAGCAAAGCATAGATACCATTCACATGGGCGTACCAACCGGGGGGGGGGGGGGGGGAGGGGGGGGGCGGGGCAAGGGTGGCGGAAAGGATCTGCGGTCCAACACAGATCCTTTGTTTCTACGTAATACCCCCCCCCCCTCAAAAAAATAAAAAAAAAATAAAGGGGAAACTTACAACAATTATATATATATATTTTTTTTTGTAAAAGTAAGGAAGTCATTTTGGATTATTAAAAAAAAATCTACTTTGTATTTAATTATTTTCTATGCCTTTAACGACTCACAGTTCCTAGCGCAGAGCACTCACGGTCTCCGCCTTCTTGAATATAGAACCCGCATGCGTCGGACACTTCGGTGATATAAGAGGAGGATTCCCCTGAAATAAAAGATTGTGAATGAAGGTACTAGAGCAAAGGATCATGTCTACAGCTTCCTTTAAGCTAAAAACGCAAACAATTTAATTAAACTTTTTAAAACTTAATGTTCCTTTCAGCTTCGCAGTTCACATCCCAGGTACAAGAGGCTCGTCATATTATCGGGCGTATGTTTGATTGAATACACTAACAAAACCATTGCATTATTTTTTTATTAGAAGTGTATAGACATTGATTAGTTAAAACCGTTGTTGTGCTTTGATCACCAATATTACTGATACTATTTTATATTAAAGATGCCCTCGCTAGTGCGTGCACTTCGTAGTTGTTTCTAAAAGCTCATACGCGTTGTTAAAAGGTAACTCCGGGATATTTAATGGATTTTAGGGTTACGACGATTTTTAGTGACGAAGTGTACGTGCATTCTAAAATGTCTGTTTTTTATGCCTTGTGTAGGTGTAGTTCTCTAGATATTCGATCTAAATATCTTGTTTCGGGGGTTTACGGCGAAACCAGTACTGCCGGCTTGAGCATGATGGCAACATATGTGATCAGCTGTGTCGTGTGGCGCAAAGTTCGTAACGAGGTAGCGTAAGATGTACAACTAGCCTAGTAGTCGCAAGAGCAGTTCCAATCATGCAGGTAAGACCTGCAACTCTTTTACAGCTTTGCTTTGTCGATATAAAACATCTGTAGCAAATATTAATACATATTCATAAAGTTGCCGGCCGAAAAGCAAGTTTACAACGATCAACGTACTGTAGTTCTAAGAACTATAATTTTGGTGGTGTGGAATGCTCGTTGCAGGAGCGTTTTGGAAGCTCATGGTAAGCTGGCGCTGAGCAGAAACGGACGAAACTATGGCCGCCAGTGAAAGCCACCTTCGGTACAGCCTTCGGCACCACGACGCGCTTTAGCTAGCAGTAAGTCAATAACCTTTGTGAGCGATTGCCCGAGGAGTACTTAAAAACTACGAACGCTAAAACACAAGGTAAGAAGCAGAAATAGAAACGCTGGGACGTCTCAAAACCCAGCAGAAACCACGGCGAAAGATGTGCCAGTACGCACAAAAAGTGAACTGAGCGAAAGTGGCGAAGCGGGCGAGTTGGTTTATGACCTATCAAATTAAAAACGCTAACAATATAAGGACACAAGAGGAAGGCGAGCAGGATGAGCGCTTAATCTCAACTGAACATTTATTTTAAAAACGTGATGATTCTTTGCCCGCAGAATACTGCGCTTATTGTTAACGCGTGTATTGTTAAAGGGACCATGAAATGATTTTAAAATCGAGTTTCATCCACCGCACGTCGTAAAAGGTGTGAAAAGAAACACAAAAACACAAAAATAGGGAGCCCAAAAAAATTATTTGCTATAGAACTTTTAAAAGAAAAGTGGACTCTTTTGCGCCTTCCTTCCTTCGCCTGTTCACTACGATGCATACGCAGAATCGGTGCACGTCAGCCGAATCCACATCGCCTATTGGGTAAGAGCCTACCTCACCAGCACCGCGATCGTAAACAATAAATAGCCGGCGAATGTTTCCTAAAAGTTTTGTTAAATAATATTCAGATCCACATTTTGTAGCATAATTAGAGATGTGTGGCGAAAATTGCCAAATTTGATAATGCTGAGAGCCAGCGCCATCTATCGTGTGGTAAACGAAGCAACTACTGCGCGTGCGCAGTAGGGCAGGGCCGCCAGTTACTTGGGTGACGGCGACCGACGAACATTTATTTTCTTTGTTTTCCTCCCTCTCAAAACTCTGACTGACTGAACGTTTATTTTTCTACGTGTTCTTCCCGCGCGTGCCGACTTCAAGCAGCAAGAAAACAGTACTTAAAACAGACCACGACGAACAAGAACGCTGGATTCACCGACTCCGACGAAGCGTATAGGCCTAGCAGGCATTCCGACTCGGCGCTGCGTTGCTTCGTCGCAAGACCGTCTGCCTACGACCGGCTGGCGTGCTAAATGGAATATGCCCGCGCGACCCTTGTGGACCCTTCCCGTATTATAGTTTGATCACTGACCTCAATTCTAGATTAAGAGGTGAGGAGGTCAATCTCTTCCCCTTGTTTTCCGAGGCAGTGTTGACGAACACTCGTCGAAAAGGGACTCTCGTCGATTCTATCTTCTTGTTTTGTGTGATATAGAGCTGAAATAAACGCCGTATGGATTGCCTTCGTAACACGGTATGTACACTTTGTTATTGGTATGCCATTTTTATTCTGACAGACTGCACGTCACTGTCGACCCCGGTCCAACCTTTCTTTGCCGAGTGTCGCGTCAGTATCGAGTTGCAATCGTAAAAGAACGGTCCCAAAGCGCTTACCAACAGCGCGAATACAAGACTTCCATCAAGCGCGCGCGTCCGCTCCGAGTGTAAGCAGGTACATACTTACGTGGCTCTTGCTGACACTCGTAGTTCAAACGCATCTTTTTTAACGTCGGCTCGCTCCTGCATCTCCGAGGCCGCGAAAAACGCCATCTGCGTCGCTTTGCAAACGACTGACACGGGCCGGCCCTTCTGCCAACAATGACGGGGTGGTGACAAGACTCGCTGCACTTCCCAACAGGCATACCGGCGTATGGGTCTAGTCCCATGCTGTCGCTGTAGCGCAACATATCTCATTGAATTTCGCTCAGCTGCGATGCGGCGATGAGAGGCGCCGATTCAGGAAATACGTCGGTGACATCAGCGCAGTAAAACCTACCGGCGCACCCCAACTCGTTGCCGCTAACACTCCCATTCTCCTACTGCCGAGAGAACTTCCGGTTCCGGAAACGGTCTACGTCACGGCTTCTTTTGCGGTCAGTTGGAGAGAATGAAAAAGTCGATATTTCAATAATTTTTTGTGTAAAAGTTAATAAACCGAGACGAAAACGGATGCCTGTTCGACATTCAGTGAACATTGACGGTTTAATGTAAAAGTTATCTGGAAAAAGTAAAAAGGTCATTTCATGGTCCCTTTAACGCGTGTCTCCTCTCCTCTCTTTCTTTCCTCCTACTTTCATTTCTCCACCCCCTTCCCCAACTCTGAATAGCCAACCAAGGCAGACCGCGTTGTTTACTCTGTTTTCTCCTCCTGCTTTCACCTTGTTCTTCATTTTGTTTACGACGGCATGCGGAGACTATTGCACCGGTAGTGGAAGTGCATCGCCGTAGATGCGGGACTCAACTGAAATGTTATGTGTTTCTAGAAAAAGGATTTTCTAATGTTTAATTTAAATGTAATATATCAGATTCATCACTGAATAAAAAAATTTACAGCCTAGGAGGCAAAACTTGTGATCACTTTTCGTATATCTTTCGGATTATTTTAAGTAAAATAGCAATTATCACCAGAGTGCCTCGACTGACCCCAGTGCGCGTAAAAAAAAAGGTTTACTCTATTCTTTTATTATTTGCCTCCACGTTAACTATGATATGTAACACGACATTTTGAAGGGAATATAAACGTTCTTGTCAAGAATTCTTATTAACACAAAATAACATTCACTTTAGGTGATCAAAACAAATACTTTAAACAGAAGATTTCCAAATTGGTACAGCTGTATAAAATATCTGATGATGTCGATAAGTGTCATCGCTTCTTTCTGAAGTATCTAGGAATATGAACTAGCAAGGACACACAAAAATTAGATTATTAGAGTTTTGCCTATCCGCTGATTACCCGCGAATCGTCCGTAGGAATCTGCAGTCAACTGGTGGATGCGGACAATTGAATCAGATTTGTCGGATTACGGATAGGATACACGTGCCAAAGGCTGCGGATGCTCATCGGATGGGGATATCCGCTAATCCGTATCAACATTTTAGCCAAGGCAGCCCATAATTGCTGTGCGATCGCAAAATGTAGAGTGAATGAGTGAGTGATAGTATGATGGGCATTCTCCAGTGTTGTGCAGGAGCAAATTGATATATTAGAAAAAAAGATACTAATCGGAGGGAAATTGTGTTTTACGCCAAGACCTGGCCTCACCTAATTTGGCTTTAGACCGTTCCATCTTGACAAAAGGGTCTTCCCTAAAAAAAGTACGAATGCAGGGACATCAATCGTCCTGACAAAGCATGTTCTCGTTTTGAGAGGGAATGAGGGGAAAATATTCTGGGGGCAAAGAGAACCACAAACGTACAAGCCACAAGGAAGTAGAAGCAGCCTCCTTCCGTTTGGATTTCTTGATCTCATGATGTAAACCCAACGTGCAAATTAAGGGTCAGATGTGGTTTCAAATTTTGAGGATACGGTTCTGAAGCGGCTACAAAAACTGCGGATGCAGATTGGATCCGGATGATCAGACTGTTATGCGTGCGAAGATCTATAGAATATAAAATACCCAAGCTTCTAAAGAACCAACCTGGTATTATTTCCATTATAGGGATAAGTATGTCTGTGCAAGCACTAAAGAGACACATAATTTGATTATGTTTGGGCGTTTTAGAAGTGACTAATTAATTTCTTTTATTCTTCTTTTTTTTTTTGTGGGGTGCCACTCCTATGAAGCTTTCTTTGTGAGCTGAGCAAGAAGTAATTGCTTCTCTTTGTTTCATGAGCGAATGGTTGACTTTGGGCGTTATTTTTTCGTGCTCGTTGTCCCGTGATTCCACTTTCTCTGCCGTATATTACCGGTTGAAAGGGATGAATGTGTGTTGTTTTGTCGCTTCGGGTGACTCTGGTTTTCATTTCTTTGATTTTCGTCCTTTTATTAATCGTTCGTTTATTGTGGATCTGCATTTATGATGTTTTGCTTGTCCAAATCATCTGAGTTTCCTCTCTCTGTTGAACGTTCCTTTTGTCTAAGCTTGATGAACAGTGTTACCACGAAGGGGGTGGAGCAGGGGCGGTTGTCGCCTCGTCAGGAATGCCGTTGCTTATTGTGACGGCCCCCAGACTGCCGCGCTACTTGCCGGTTGTCTGAATAAAACTTCGATTCTGTTTATTATTTGCGACACCAGCCATGATCAGTATTCTTTAAAATTACTTTGTTCATTGTTTGGTCCAGATTCCTATACAGCAATACACTGGAGAGTCGGAACCCCCTTTCTGCGGCTTCAAGCTAATGCACTTTCTCGAACTAATAAATTAGACGAAGGATAAACACTTTAACAGTGTAGCCTGCGTGAGACTGTTGAATGTTATTGCTACACTGAGGTATTTTATATTATTACAATATTAACGATATTTGACAACCTAGCCAGACGCGTGACGTTCTAAAGCCTTGCTCGAAAAGACTGACGTGGTTAAAAAAAAGCGGTGGCCTCACTCAAAAAGGTTTTGAAAAATTGTATAGGAATAAAATGGACAAAATGCATCTCGAGAAAATACAAATGAAAATATATTTCACAATATAAACACCAACACACGAAAAAATAAAATAACGGATAAGACGACCCAAATTCTTCTCTAGGCTGTTAGTTTTTCCTTGGTGTCTTTGAGTTAGGTTATGGTGTTTCTTAAACAACTAGCCTGCATAGTTCGACGTGAGCGCGTTGGCGAAGTTCAATAAAAAATAAAAAAAAAGAAAGAAAAAACATAGGTGTTGTTCTGTCCGTCCCTATGTTTATTCTTTCTGATTTTATTTAGCCTGCCTACTTTTGTTTTTTTTGTATTTGTTCGATTTATATATACATATATTTAAAATGAAACTTACCGCTTAGAAAAGACGGTAGAATAAGCACAACGGCGAGAACTACAAGCTGCATTTTGCTCAATGGCAACATCCCACTGAAAGAGTAAAGATAATATATATATAGCCTCTAAACTCAAAACCTTTTTTGCAAAGCGCTTAAGGTTGCTAAAGTAGTGCGTCGTATTACAAACGTATACATAATTTACTGAAAGCACGTGCATGCGTATACTTAATCTGGCAAAAATGCCCAAGTCAGAGGTACTCGCAAAAACATTGCTAATAGATAAAATTAAGTACCGTTGCAAAACGAATAAAACTCATTTGGGCAATTAAATCACTTGTAGAGTGCAGGGTACCACGAAAGTCAGGCGATACAAGATTTCTATTGTGACACGGTATTCCCGAGTAAAAAAACAGTTGTCGAGTTCAGGGTAGAGCGAAAGCCACGTGATACAAGATTTCTATTGTGACACGGTATTCCCGGTGAACAAACACTTGTAGAGTGCAGGGTAGAGCGAAAGTCACGTGATACAAGATTTCTATTGTGACACGGTATTCCAGGGCGAACAAACACTTGTAGAGTGCAGGGTAGAGCGAAAGTCACGTGATACAAGATTTCTATTGTGACACGGTATTCCCGGGTGAACAAACACTTGTAGAGTGCAGGGTACAGCGAAAGTCAGGTGATACAAGATTTCCATTGTGACACGGTATTCCCGGGTGAACAAACACTTGTAGAGTTCAGGGTAGAGCGAAAGTCACGTGATACAAGAGTTCTATTGTGACACGGTATTCCCGGGTGAAAAAAACACTTGTAGAGTTCAGGGTAGAGCGAAAGTCACGTAATACAAGATTTCTATTGTGACACGGTATTCCAGGGTGAACAAACACTTGTAGAGTGCAGGGTAGAGCGAAAGTCACGTGATACAAGATTTCTATCGTGACACGGTATTCCCGGGTGAACAAACACTTGTAGAGTGCAGGGTACAGCGAAACTCATGTGATACAAGATTTCCATTGTGACACGGTATTCCCGGGTGAACAAACACTTGTAGAGTTCAGGGTAGAGCGAAAGTCACGTGATACAAGAGTTCTATTGTGACACGGTATTCCCGGGTGAAAAAAACACTTGTAGAGTTCAGGGTAGAGCGAAAGTCACGTGACACAAGATTTCTATTATGACGCGGTATTCTCGGGTAAACAAACACTTGTAGAGTGCAGGGTAGGGCGAAAGTCACGTGATACAAGATTTCTATTGTGACACGGTATTCCCAGGTGAACAAACACTTGTAGAGTGCAGGGTATAGCGAAAGTCAGGTGATACAAGATTTCCATTGTGACACGGTATTCCCGGGTGAACAAACATTTGTATAGTTCCGGGTAGAGCGAAAATCACGTGGTACAAGAGTTCTATTGTGACACGGTATTTCCGGGTGAACACACGCTTGTAGAGTGCAGGGTAGAGCGAAAGTCACGTGACACAAGATTTTTATTGTGACGTGGTATTCTCGGGTAAACAAACACTTGTAGAGTGCAGGGTAGAGCGAAAGTCACGTGATACAAGATTTCTATTGTGACACGGTATTCCCAGGCGAACAAACACTTGTAGAGTGCAGGGTAGAGTGAAAGTCACGTGATACAAGATTTCTATTGTGACACAGTATTCCCGGGTGAACAAACACTTCTAGGGTTCAGGGTAGAGCAAAAGTCACGTGATACAAGATTTATATTGTGACACGGTATTCCCGGGTGAACAAACACGTGTAGAGTGCAGGGTAGAGCAAAAGTCACGTGATACAAGGTTTCTATTGTGACACGGTATTCCTGGGTGAACAAACACTTCTAGAGTTCAAGGTAGAGCGAAAGTCACGTGATACAAGATTTCTATTGTGACACGGTATTCCCGGGTGAAAAACACTTGTCGAGTTCAGGGTAGAGCGACAGTCACGTGATACAAGATTTCTATTGTGACACGGTATTCCAGGGCGAACAAACACTTGTAGAGTGCAGGGTAGAGCGAAAGTCACGTGATACAAGATTTCTATTGTGACACGGTATTCCCGGGTGAACAAACACTTGTAGAGTGCAGGGTAGAGCGAAAGTCAGGTGATACAAGATTTCCATTATGACACGGTATTCCCGGGTGAACAAACACTTGTAGAGTTCAGGGTAGAGCGAAAGTCACGTGATACAAGAGTTCTATTGTGACACGGTATTCCCGGGTGAAAAAACACTTGTAGAGTTCAGGGTAGAGCGAAAGTTACGTGATACAAGATTTCTATTGTCACACGGTATTCCCGGGTGAACAAACCCTTGCAAAGTGCAGGGTAGAGCGAAAGTCACGTGATACAAGAGTTCTATTGTGACACGGTAGTCCCGGGAGAGAAACGCTTGTAGAGTTAAGGGTAGAGCGAAAGTCACGTGATACAAGATTTATATTGTGACACGGTATTCCCGGGTGAACAAACACGTGTAGAGTGCAGGGTAGAGCGAAAGTCACGTGATACAAGATTTCTATTGTGACACGGTATTCCCGGGTGAACAAACACTTGTAGAGTTCAGGGTAGAGCGAAAGTCACGTGATACAAGAGTTCTATTGTGACACGGTAGTCCCGGGAGGAGAAACGCTTGTAGAGTTAAGGGTAGAGCGAAAGTTACGTGATACAAGATTTCTATTGTCACACGGTATTCCCGGGTGAACAAACACTTGCAAAGTGCAGGGTAGAGCGAAAGTCACGTGATACAAGAGTTCTATTGTGACACGGTAGTCCCGGGAGGAGAAACGCTTGTAGAGTTAAGGGTAGAGCGAAAGTCACGTGATACAAGATTTATATTGTGACACGGTATTCCCGGGTGAACAAACACTTGTAGAGTGCAGGGTAGAGCGAAAGTCACGTGATACAAGATTTCTATTGTGACACGGTATTCCCAGGTGAACAAACACTTGTAGAGTGCAGGGTAGAGTGAAAGCCACGTGATACAACAGTTCTATTGTGACACGGTATTCCCGGGTGAAAAAACACTTGTAGAGTTCAGGGTAGAGCGAAAGTTACGTGATACAAGATTTCTATTGTCACACTGTATTCCCGGGTGAACAAACACTTGCAAAGTGCAGGGTAGAGCGAAAGTCACGTGATACAAGAGTTATATTGTGACACCGTATTTCCGGGTGAACAAACGCTTGTAGAGTGCAGGGTAGAGCGAAAGTCACGTGACACAAGATTTTTATTGTGACGTGGTATTCTCGGGTAAACAAACACTTGTAGAGTGCAGGGTAGAGCGAAAGTCACGTGATACAAGATTTCTATTGTGACACGGTATTCCCGGGTGAACAAACACTTGTAGAGTGCAGGGTAGAGCGAAAGTCACGTGATACAACAGTTCTATTGTGACACGGTATTCCCGGGTGAAAAAACACTTGTAGAGTTCAGGGTAGAGCGAAAGTTACGTGATACAAGATTTCTATTGTCACACGGTATTCCCGGGTGAACAAACACTTGCAAAGTGCAGGGTAGAGCGAAAGTCACGTGATACAAGAGTTATATTGTGACACCGTATTTCCGGGTGAACAAACGCTTGTAGAGTGCAGGGTAGAGCGAAAGTCACGTGACACAAGATTTTTATTGTGACGTAGTATTCTCGGGTAAACAAACACTTGTAGAGTGCAGGGTAGAGCGAAAGTCACGTGATACAAGATTTCTATTGTGACACGGTATTTCCAGGTGAACAAACACTTGTAGAGTGCAGGGTAGAGTGAAAGTCACGTGATACAAGATTTCTATTGTGTCACAGTATTCCCGGGTGAACAAACACTTCTAGGGTTCAGGGTAGAGCAAAAGTCACGTGATACAAGATATATATTGTGACACGGTATTCCCGGGTGAACAAACACGTGTAGAGTGCAGGGTAGAGCAAAAGTCACGTGATACAAGGTTTCTATTGTGACACGGTATTCCTGGGTGAACAAACACTTCTAGAGTTCAAGGTAAAGCGAAAGTCACGTGATACAAGATTTCTATTGTGACACGGTATTCCCGGGTGAAAAACACTTGTCGAGTTCAGGGTAGAGCGACAGTCACGTGATACAAGATTTTTATTGTGACACGGTATTCCAGGGCGAACAAACACTTGTAGAGTGCAGGGTAGAGCGAAAGTCACGTGATACAAGATTTCTATTGTGACACGGTATTCCCGGGTGAACAAACACTTGTAGAGTGCAGGGTACAGCGAAAGTTAGGTGATACAAGATTTCCATTATGACACGGTATTCCCGGGTGAACAAACACTTGTAGAGTTCAGGGTAGAGCGAAAGTCACGTGATACAAGAGTTCTATTGTGACACGGTATTCCCGGGTGAAAAAACACTTGTAGAGTTCAGGGTAGAGCGAAAGTTACGTGATACAAGATTTCTATTGTCACACGGTATTCCCGGGTGAACAAACACTTGCAAAGTGCAGGGTAGAGCGAAAGTCACGTGATACAAGAGTTCTATTGTGACACGGTAGTCCCGGGAGGAGAAACGCTTGTAGAGTTAAGGGTAGAGCGAAAGTCACGTGATACAAGATTTATATTGTGACACGGTATTCCCGGGTGAACAAACACGTGTAGAGTGCAGGGTAGAGCGAAAGTCACGTGACACAAGATTTCTTTTGTGACACGGTATTCCCAGGTGAACAAACACTTGTAGAGGGAGTTCAGGGTAGAGCGAAAGTCACGTGATACAAGAGTCCTAATGTGACACGGTATTCCCGGGTGAAAAAACACTTGTAGAGTTCAGGGTAGAGCGAAAGTTACGTGATACAAGATTTATATTGTGACACGGTATTCCCGGGTGAACAAACACGTGTAGAGTGCAGGGTAGAGCGAAAGTCACGTGATACAAGAGTTCTATTGTGACACGGTATTCCCGGGTGAAATAAACACTTGTAGAGTTCAGGGTAGAGCGAAAGTCACGTTACACAAGATTTCTATTATGACGCGGTATTCTCGGGTAAACAAACACTTGTAGAGTGCAGGGTAGGGCGAAAGTCACGTGACACAAGATTTCAATTGTGACACGGTATTCCCAGGTGAACAAACACTTGTAGAGTG